AGGAAAAAAGACACAATTTTGGTAGAGACTGTGTTGAATCTGTAGTTCTTTTTATTAGTATTATACTTCAAGTTCTGGGGTACATGTGCAGAACGTGCAGGTTTGTTACATAGGTATACACGTGCCATGGTGGCTTGCTGCACCCATCAACTTGTCTCCTACATTAGGTATTTCTCCTGTTATCCCTCCCCTAGCTCCCAACCCCGTGACAGGCCCCGGTGTGTGATGCTCCCTTCCCTATGTCCATGTGTTCTCATTGTTCAACTCCCACTTATGAATGAGAACATGCAGTGTTTGGTTTTCTGTTCTTGTGATAGTTTGCTGAGAATGATGGTTTCCAGCTTCATCCATGTCCCTGCAAAGGACATGAACTCATCCTTTTATATGGCTACATAGTATTCCATGGTGTATATATGCCACATTTTCTTTATCCAGTATATTATTGATGGACATTTGGGTTGGTTCCAAGTCTTTGCTATTGTGAATAATGCCACAATAAACATATGTGTGCATGTGTCTTTATAGTAGAATGATTTATAATCCTTTGGGTATATACCCAGTAATGGCATTACAGGGTCAAACGGTATTTCTAGTTATAGATCTTTCAGGAAACACCACACTGTCTTCCACAACAGTTGAACTAATTTACACTCCCACAAACAGTGTAAAAGCATTCGTATTTCTCCACATCTTCTCCAGCATCTGTTGTTTCCTGACTTTTTCATGATTGCCATTCTAACTGGCATGAGATGGTATCTTGTTTGGTTTGCATTTCTTTAATTACCAGTGATGATGAGCATTTTTCTTATGTCTGTTGGCTGCATAAATGTCTTCTTTTGAGAAGTGTTTGTTCATATCTTTGGCCCACTTTTTGACGCGGTCGTTTGTTTTTTTCTTGTAAATTTAAGTTTTTTGTAGATAGTTCATTTTTGAGACAGTCGACTACATAACAATATTAAGTCTTCTGATGCAGGAACAGAGATATCTTTCCATTTATTTAGATCGTCTTTATGTTCAACAATTTTTTTTAGAGTACAAGTGTGACACTTTTTTGATAAACTTATTCCTAAAAATTGTATTTTTTGATGTGATTATAAATGGCATTGTTTTCTTAATTCTGTTTTGTTTTATTCATTGTTGCTATAAAACACAATTTGTTTTTGCATATTGGTCTCATATCCTACAAGCTTGTTGAACTCATTTATTATATCTAATAGTTTTTTAGTCAATTATTCAGGATATTTTATTTAAATATTTTAGAATAACCTATTTAAAAGATTATACAAATGGAAATAGTTTTATTTTTTTCCTTCCAATCTGAATGTCTTTTATTTCTTTTCATTGTCTAAATGTCCTGACTAAAAGCAGCTCTAGTAGAATACTGAATGGAAGCGGCAAGAGTGTATCTCCTTGTCTTGTTGCTGTTCTTTCAGGGAAATGTATTTAGTCTTTCCCCATTAAGTATGATGTTGACTGTGCATTATCACGTTGAAGAAGTTCCCTTCCATTCCTGACCTGTGGAGTGTTTTCAAAATAAAAGGTTGTTGATTTTGTCAAATGCTTTTCTCAGTCTGTTGAAATGGTCATGTGGTTTTGCCTTAATTCTACTGATATGCATGTTACATGAAATAATTTTTAAATATTAAACCAACCTTGCCTTCCTGAGATAAATTCCACTTTGTATACATAAGTTTGAATTCTTACGTCTTCTTGATAGATTGACACTTTTCTTTTTCTTAAATGTCCCTCTTTAGCTCTAGTAACATTTATTATTTTAAACCCTATTTTGTCAGTGTAAAGCCACTCAAGCTCTCTTAGCATTGTTTGTGTGATATATCTCCCCCTTTTTTTTTTTTTTTACTTTCAACCTACCGGTATCTTTGAAACTAAATTTTTTTCCTGCCTAAAACCCAGATATTTTAGATGATATCTTGTAGCAATTCTTGATGCTGCTTTCTCTCCCTCTCCCAACTCCAAGACTTTTTGTTGCTTAATTGTTTACTGTTTGTTTAGTGACTTGGCTGGACTATATCAGCAAAGTCTATTTCCCTGTGCAGCTTTTTATATTGCTCCTCAGCCAGTGAAGCCTGGGGCATGGTTATAATACCCCTAAACCCTTTCTCCCTTCCCCCAGAATAACAACAGTTTTAGTAGGCTTCTCTGACGTTCCTTCACTGATCTGTTAAGCTTCTAGCTGGTCTGTTGTATCTACTGATATCACCCTCAACTGTTAGCCTCCAGTAACTGCTGGCTGATATGGCCTATTGTTTTCAACAATGCCTTGAGTCTTAAATTACTTCACAGTATGATCCATTTAAAGTCAGGCCCCTTTGCAGGTTAATCTTTGAGAGCAGTCTTTGAGACATGTTATAACCTCAGGAGAGCTCTTTTCATCCATCTCTTTTTCCGGTTCTTCTGTTAAACTTCCAGTTGGTCTACTCTTTAACTTATTGCAATCATGGGGCTACTAGCTTTACTTCCTTGCTCACAACCTAAATCTTCATTGTTTTTGACAGTGCCCTTAGGCTTGAACGTCTCTATATTTTGTTTCAACTAAAGTTAGTCTACTTAGAGTTAGCTATAGAGTTCTCTGTTCAATGGTTTGTCTCCTCTCCTTGGCAGAACCTCTGTTCCACTACTCTGGACATGGGGACAGAGACAGTAACCTACTTTTCTTGGAGTGATACCCCTGGTGTGTCAGTGGGATACTGGACTGGAGCAGTAGCCACTGGTCATCTTGGTTTATTTCCCCTGTTGTGAAAACTCAGCAAGTTGAGAGTTATCAGGGTCCATTATTCCTAGTTTGCTGTTTCTGGGGGTAGATTCGGTTACAATTGCCTGCAATAGAGTCTGTTCAACATATTGCTGGGATTGGAGTAGGGCAGAGTTTGGTTACATATGCTGACAACCTGACTTTTCTGGGTAGAAACTGTAGTCCTAAACTGGGATCTGGGATTAGAGGCAGCCCCATCCTCTTGGCTATATTCATCCAGAACAGAGTTTTTCTCACATTGAGTTGAGGGGTAGGTAGAGAAAACAGGCCATGACTTCAGATCTTTCCAATGTTCAGAAGATTTGTTTCAATTTCCGTCTGTTCTTAGGACAATTTCCAGAGACTAGATGGTTGTTTTTGATTTTTAATGATCTCACCAGTTATAGTTGTTTCACTAGGAAGAGAGTCTATGGTGCTTCTCATGCTGTCATTCTGGAAGAGCTTCTCCCTTCTTCCCTCTTTCCCCTCACTTTTGCCGCCCTTGGTTTGCACCTCTCATGGAAACTTTGTCTCACATACACTTTCTGGGAAACTTATATTTAAGAAAGCATTTTAGAATGTTCAGACATCTGTATGAAAGTACTGCATGAGTGGAAGTGATACCAATGGTTGATGAAGTGGACTGCTACATCTTAACCTGGACTCCAAGTTAGTAGACTGTTGCAGAGCTCAAGTTGTTCTCTTACCATCCTCCCAAGATTGATATTCTTACTCTGAGAGAGACTGGACTATCAGCCATCAGGTGATCATAAGGCTAAACGGGTTGCCATATACTCACAAAATTTGGAATTTTAGAGCAGGAAAAGGTTACCAGGTATGGACAGCATCTTTATTTTATAGATGAGAAAACTAAGGTGCAAACAGGTAATTTTCCAAAGCCAATAAGATAATTAATATCTGAGTAAATAAGGCTTTTGATTCTTAGTTTTGGTCTTCCCACAAGGCACTATGTGAGACTTGCTCCCTCATTTCTTTTTAGAAAAAAAAAAAAAGAACAATAAAATGCAAATAAAAATAAAACACCAATTATAAAGCAGCTTTCTATTAAAAGATATTCATATATTCTTTGAGAAAAAATAATTGACTCAATATGGGTACCCTTCTTGTAGTCCACCTGATAGTCTCATTTCAGTGACTGAATCTAATCTATTTTGGAGTCAAACTGAAGGAAAAAGAAAAAATATTCATATGTTATTTCTATTGCCTCACTATGAATTTGCATCTAGGTGTTACCCCTTCTCAACCATTCCTTTCTCAATTTCCCAGTGATGTTTGCTGAGTGTGTGTGCGTGTGTGTGTGTGTGTGTGTGTGTTGGGTGGGGGGAAATCCCCTGCACTCACTAATATGAACTAAGAAAAAAACAAAACACATGTAAAAGAGATGTTGAGGTAGTATATGGATGATGTATTATTCTCATTTTTCACTGAGTATCAGTAATCGTTGCAAAAGTGTTGTGTGTTATCCTAAAAGAATAAGAAATGTAATTTAAAATAAAAACTAACATTTAAGTGCCAATGATATGCCAAATTCTTTACTTGCTTTATCTCATTTAATGTTCCTAGCTACTCAATGAGACAGATATTTTCCTCCCCATTTCAGATAAAGAATTTCTGAAAGGTAATTAACTTCACCAAGGTCACATGGCCACAAGTAGAAGAGTGAGAAGTAGGCTCATAAAAATTATCTCAAAATTCTTTCATCAACACTCTATGATTCTGCTTCTTTTCAACAACAACAAATGTTTTTTAAATGGAAAATCTGGATGTGCCATGGAGTTTTACAAATCCAGGAATTTAGGTGTATTTATGGAACTTGTTCTTTGGCTTCCTGTTTTTTTAAAAATTATAGTGTAAAGTTCATAGAGATCTGGAACTTCATTCCTTCTATGAATGACTGCTCATGGAGTCTGGTAACACCGAAAGTTTCAGTGTTTGCTACCATCCTTGTTGTTACCACCTCCTTCTTATCCTCCTTCTTCCTCATGTATAGAGACAATATAAGACAGTTTGCCAGACAGTTCTGTTTTGTGCCTATAGCTTTGCATAATTATCATTATTATTATTCATTCCCCAAAGTGTCCTGGTTTAGATACTTTCATGGTCACCTTAATAATCATCACTGAACGTGTCAAGGGTGTTGTATTGCAGGTGCCCACTAGGTGTCAGCAGTGTGACCTCCCGAGAACACTCAGAGAAAGGATTTCATTACAAAAGTCAAATCAGAGCAAATAATTAAGTGTAGCTCAAGAGCTACCTGCAGCCTTGGCCATTCAAAACAAATGAGAGGATAGGGGGAGGAGAGAAGGAACAGGTGCAGATCAGATAGCTCCTTCTTGGGATCTGATAGAGAGGGAGGGTTTCCTTTCCTCATTAGAAGAACTCCAATGATCTGTGGAATGACCACTACAGTATCCTTTTAAATTTTCACCCACAAGACAAAGCCAGTATGCAGTGAAATGAGGAAATGCCTTTAAGTGAAGAGATTTTTATTCCTTTCATAAACTGCTCAAGCCATGATTGGATGGAGGTCCTCCAGGTAATTCCATGGACTTTAACAAGTCTATTGAATAACTGCGTTTGAGTTGGAAGCTGAGTTGCCTGAACACAAACGATTTAAAGAAGATTAGAAAGCGTCTACATGCAGAGCTCAATAGCACACTTGGAATCTTCTTGGGAGGACCCACGGATTGTACCTATATTACTTTTGACCCAGGTGGATGCAGTCACTCTCTAGAAGCCTCCCCGACTTCAGATGTGTGGCACACATCCACCCAGGGGTGTAGGTAGGAGAAGCCCACAAGAATGGCTCTGCAGATGTTCGTGACTCTCAGTCCTTGGAATTGTTTGCTACTGCTAGTGGCTCTTGAGTGTTCTGAAGCATCTTCTGATTTAAATGAATCTGCAAATTCCACTGCTCAGTATGCACCTAACGCTTGGTTTGCTGCTGCCAGCTCAGAGCCAGACGAGAGGATATCTGTTTTTGAACTGGATTATGACTACGTGCAAATTCCTTATGAGGTCACTCTCTGGATACTTCTAGCATCCCTTGCAAAAATAGGTAAGTCCTTCAACACCTGGTTTGGTGAGTTATTTTTTTGCGTAAGATAGTGAATGTGAAAATGCCTTGTAGATAATGGGCTAAGAGGATTTTAACTGTTACTGCTATTACATTAAAAATTCTCTTCCCTTCAGTCAAGGGAAAGTCATAACTGCATTTTACTAAGCTGTTTAATACATTGAGATTGTGCTTTGAAATTTGAGAGTATACTTCTGTGTACTGGGCTGTGTTGGTTTCTTCTCATTTCAGGGTGACAACCATGTGACATTGTTGACATGCAAAACTCTCAAATTCTATGCTTTAAAAATATAGCGAATAAAGCACGTAGACCTGGACATGATGCAAGGTGGAAATTTCAAATTTCAGGAACCACATAATGTTTCTTCTGTAAAATGTTCTTGGCTGTGTAGCTGTGGGCTTCATCAATGACCCCATTGTTTATTCTTTAAAAGTAGCATGTGCTTCTTGCAAATTGACAGAAAGCAAAAGAAAAAAAAAAAGCCATAGGCAACTAGTATCACTCAGTGATGGGATGCTGGGGCATATAATACTATATCTGTCAGTAAAATATTAGTTTACACCTAAGCCAAGTGGGGCCAGTGAGCACCTCTAGTTTCCTTTGTGAAATAAAGTGAATCCAAGTTAATAGATTAAATTCCAATCAAGGGATCTTTGTGTCAAAAACCAAAGAGGTGGTTATTCTCTGTGACTATTTAATACCTAACTGCACCCCCTTGTCTCTTTAAAACCAACTTATTCTAAAGTGGAAAATTAATATAATTATCTCAAATGCTAAGTACAATGTCTCCTTTGCCTCAGCTATAAACTTTATGCTATTTGAGTATGTAGATTGCCTTATTGAGATAGAATCAATGAAACATTTTAATTCTCATTTATGTATATGTGTATGTTTTCTCTAGGATGGATGTGAAATGTGGGTTGAGCTTTGAGGTCTGGCAGTTACCTTCTGTGGGCTCTGGCTATTCACCTAGCTGCCTCTCCATGGGTGTTGGGGACACTGGTATAGGTGTCCCCTTTAGACTCTCCTTTATAGTTGCTATTCATTTTGAGCTAGTAAAGTGTGAAGATTAAATAGGAATTGTTAGTTTGAAGAAGTCTTATGCAATTTGCTTAGTAATTAAGTCACACAAAGGGTCTTACTATATTTTTAAGAGATATTCAAGTAAAAATGGCTTTCTAAATGGATAACATTCTCAGTTCAGAGCAGTCTAACATCTTTCGTGAAATCATATGGACACTGATTGTGTTCAAGGTGATCTTACTTGGTACTTGAGTTTTCCTTTTAAAACAATATGCTAGAGATTCTGTGTTTCCTGCTCCCACTCCACAACCCGGCTTCCTCTTCACAGAAATGGCTCAAGTCAATCTGAGTACCAGGAAACTCATCCTGTCACTGACTAGCTAGTTGCTCTATCAATAAACATATAAATGCAGAAAGGGTGCATTTTGTCTTGGTTTTATATTTGTGTAAAACCTAGCTTGTTTTGTAGAGGCATTGTATGCATCCATATTCATTCTGTCTAGGAGTGAAGAGCACTGTGAAAATACGATTATTCATAGAACTGTTGGTTTAAATGTTCTTGATTTTCATGATGCAATTTAACATACTTTAGAAAAAAGAGTAGGATATCAGAATACACTTATTCAAGTACAATTTCATATTCACTAGTCTTCAAGAATTTAGATTATTTTTGTATTCCATATGGACATGAGGAGTGAGGAGATAAAAAGGCCATATTTATTGAATATATACTATGTGCCAAGTACTAGGCTGGTAGTTTTATGTATAAGGGCTTATGTGTTAGGGCCAAAATAATAATTATGATGATGATTTATACTTTGAACACTTAAGAAATTCATATGGGTTTTTAAATATTATATTATTAAACATGAATCAGAATAAAATTAATAATCATTATTATGATTCTTTCTTTTATTCCTCATTCTATCAAGGTATATTTTCTGAGCACTCATGAAATATGTGGAAATGATCATGGTCCCTGACCTCAAAGGACTTGGCCTAATGGGGAAGATAGTTTAACCTAGTACTTACTGCCCGTAGATACTCTGACAGAAAAACATCAAAACTCTCCCCTAATCCTTTTTAAAACACCCAACTATGCACTTATAAAACAAAGATAATGTAGAACAAAGATAATACAAAGCCACCTCAGACTTTGTGGTTTATCTTCTACTTCAGTTCCACGTCTTAGAACGTCATAGACGAATGTTCCCTGAATCTTTGGGAAGAACGGAATTGTAGGGCCTTCTTTGACTTTCAGACAGGACTTTTAATATTTGTGTCCATTTAAGCTCTAAGGACTGAAACTGTAAATTTTAAGTGATTGACTCTATTGTCCATCATGAAAGGGAGAAGTTTTAAAATGTGAAAGGCAGGTAGCATTTCTCTTTACAGGGCCCTACTTATGGATGTGTGGCCTCTTCCTGCACAACTGTGTAGAGAACAACTTGGCTTAAAGCAGGTGAATGTTGGATCCATCTCAGGAAACTGGATTCCTGGAAGCAAGGCCAAACTGGGGAGCCACAAGGCCTGAGAAAATCATGCTATGGGCTCTTCCACCTCCTTTATGTATTAAAAAAGTTAAGTTTGGTTAAAATAAGCACTAACTGAAGAAGAAGGAGAAGGAGAAGGGTAAGGAGAAAGAGAAGGAGGAGATGGATAAGTAGTAAGAGGAGGTAAAAAGAAGGAGAAGGACGAAGAGAGTAAGAAGGAGCAGCAGGAGCTGGACAAAGAGAAGATGAAGAAGGAGAAGAAATAGGAGGAGAAGAAGAAAGAATTAAAATAAAGAGGAGGAAGAGGAAATGGAGAAATAGGAGGAGAAGAAAGAAGTAAAATAAAGAGGAGGAAGAGGAAATGGAGAAATAAGCAGTGATTAGAAAACGATGAGTTCAGTGCACCAGAAGAGTGCTTACCCCGACCCTGAAGCCAGATGAAAGTGGGGATGGTATTCCTTGGTGATAATTACCCCCTGTTGTGTTAACTTATAGTGAATGGAGAAGTTCAAAGCCATGGTCAGGGAAGCTCATATCATCTTTGGATGGGTGAATCTAACAATTCCCAAGGAGATATTTGCTGACTCCCTGTGGCCTGTGGCTGGAAGCCCACCACCTTCCTTAGGTTTGAATTCCAGGTCTTCCATTATTTGTCTCAAAATCATTTTCCAAGTCCTCTCCTGACACTTTTCCCAGTTCAAAGGTTGCTCTAGCCGAGTGGATCCCCTCAATGAACGTCAAAGGTATCTGGCTAGGCCATTTCTTCCTCTCTTCTTTCACTCTTGATGTTCTCCTCACCTAAAATCTCTCCCATTCTGTTACCCAATCCTCATCATTCTCCAACAACCTGTTCAATCTCTTCTCATGAGAAAGCTTCTCTGATAAACATTTAACTGTTTATTCCTTCATTTATACACTTACAGATGCTTTCAGCAAATAGGCCAGCTGTTGTGGACAAGATACCGTGCTAAGTATTTGGGGAGACATGACAATGTAAATCATTCTGCTTGAGTCTGGGGGGTTTCCACATTATTAGGAGACATGAATCATGCACAAAAAAATAGTAGACAGGGATTATTGTTATTAGACAGAGTCAGATAAAATGCTTTATTAGTCGTAATTCAGAGGAACATATGAACTTAGGAAGAAGCTAGGGAAAGCTAAGCCTCAAAGGATGAGCAGGACTTAAAGGGACCAAGGAAAAGGACAATCCAAGCAGTGACATTAGAATGAGAAGACAAGAAAGAGGCCTGCAGAGTGACAAGGCCTTTGACTGGCTGAATGCAGGCTATGTAAAGATAGTGCAGAATGTGTGGGAGACGGACTTGGAGAGAGCCCCGTGGTGATCTGCTGAGCTCTGATCTCTCACCATGTTTGCTGATATGTTCAATATGCCCTTCATTATATACTTACACGTCATCTTCTTAGTTGCTCATGTCTTGTTTCTAAAACTTTATCAATACTGGGAATTGCAGTTGTCTACCTCTCTGGTCTTCCACTTGGCGGTACTTAACTGTAGTCTTTGCACAATGAGGCTCAACTAATACCCTTGGTTTACAATCCAGGAGATGCTTTGTGTGCCTTCAGAATCCTAGGTGGGAATTGAGACAATCAGAGACCCGTGGTGTAGAAAAATCATCTGACAGTAGAGTGTGGAATGACCTGGGGGGTCAAGGGTGAGATTGGAGGTCAAGAAGACAATGCAATCATTAAGATGAGAAATGGGAAGATCCTAAATAAAGGCAGCAGCCAAAGAAATGGAGAGGAGGGGACAATTTTAGGGGTAGCGAATGAGAGTCATGACATAAGAAATAAATACAGAGCTGATTGATGAAGAGTCACTCAAGAGAATGCGACCTGATTTCCCTCTTCAGTGGCTGACCAGATAGCAATGTCATTGGTTAAACACAGGAGACAAAATAAAGGACTTTCAATTTTTGTGTATGTGTTCGATGAAGAGGGGAATGAGGTCAGGTAAGTCTGGAACAAGCTCAGGTTTTGGTGATATAATAGATTCGGCATGAGCTTGAAACCTGAGCTTGCACGAGCGCAAAAGTTTCACCCTCGTTTCTCCTTCTCCCTCACGCACCCTCGCAGATCCCTGTAAGATGGGAAAGCAGGAAGGAGGATGGGGGAGGGAGCAGCTGGCTGAGAATGATTCTGTGACCTGCACTGAGCTGGGCATGTTACCTACTGATCTTATTGACGGCCCTCATGACACTACCAGTTCCTGCTACAGATGGGACGCTGAGGCTGAGATGCCAGCCAGCTTGCCCACGGTCCTGTCTGCTTGACTTTAAAAGACCTCAGGTACACCCAGACCGTTTCGTTTGCAAACACCTAACTGTGCTCTCCGCTGTTCCGCAGGCTTCCACCTCTACCGCAGGCTGCCGGGCCTCATGCCAGAGAGCTGCCTCCTCATCCTGGTGGGGGCGCTAGTGGGCGGCATCATCTTCGGCACCGACCACAAATCGCCTCCGGTCATGGACTCCAGCATCTACTTCCTGTATCTCCTGCCACCTATCGTGCTGGAGGGCGGCTACTTCATGCCCACCCGGCCCTTCTTTGAGAACATCGGCTCCATCCTGTGGTGGGCAGTACTGGGGGCCCTGATCAACGCCTTGGGCATTGGCCTCTCCCTCTACTTCATCTGCCAGGTGAAGGCCTTTGGCCTGGGCGACGTCAACCTGCTGCAGAACCTGCTGTTCGGCAGCCTGATCTCCGCCGTGGACCCCGTGGCCGTGCTGGCTGTGTTTGAGGAGGCGCGTGTGAACGAGCAGCTCTACATGATGATCTTCGGGGAGGCCCTGCTCAATGACGGCATTACCGTGGTGAGATGTCATGTGCCCGCCCCCGCTTCCAGGGAAGATGAGGGTTCGGGGTGGGGCTGGGGACCGGAGGCTATGGAGAGGGCTCCAGCGTGGCTCAGGCAGCAGGACAGGGATGAGCTTCAGCCCACGCGGTGTGGTCCGAGTTCTGGTGAATTTCCTGAGGATCTGCACTGCCTACATAACGGCTCACTCGCATTGCTTGTCATTCACAAGCCAGCTCGTTTCTCTAAAGAGTGGGAAAGGAGAAAGAACGTGTCATTCTTGAGTTAAATGTAGTTTTTCACTTAGCAAACAGAAACTGTTGCTAATGGCCCTTCTGGGGTTTCACGGCAGCTAAAGCAGAAGCTGATGTTTCTATTTTCTCTCCATCATCAGACCTCACTCTCACTCCCTTTATATGCGTTTTTGTTTTGTTTTTTAACATACCGCATTAGAGATAAAGGTCAGGGAAGAGATGGCGACAGATTCGTGAAAATGTGTTAGTTTTTGTATCACTCAGTTGCAGGACTTGTATGGAAAAACGTGAATGAGGTGTTTTTGCTTATGAGTCTTTCTGGTGGGAAACTGAGAAGGACATACAGGCTTGAGCAACACCTACCATTAAGGCTCGGGGGATGTCTGCAGGCTGGGGGTGCTGGAATATTGAGAAGTAGCCAGTCCCGTTACTCAATTTCATTAATTACTACAAACCTTCGGCAGTTGTTAGACAAGAAGACTTTTATACATACTTTTATATACATTTCTTATTTTTAAATTTCTATCACAGCACATAAGTGATACTAGAATACATTTTCACTGTAGGAATCAAACAGTACAAAACTATATCGCATGAAACACAAAAGCTTCTGCTTGCCCTCACCTCCTCCTCTATGCAAGAGGCAACCACTTTTATCAACTTGGCCTTTTCCCTGCTGTCTTTGTTATATGCATATACAACATTTTTGCAAATCTTTTATCATGTATGTGTATGTGATCTGTATTTTTTAATATAAAGTGGGTGGATTTTATGTATTGCTTAGATATAACAAGTCTTTCCATGCCTTGTTTTTTTTTTTCTTTTGTTTGAGACGGAGTTTCACTCTTGTTGCCCAGGCTGGAGTGCAATGATGCAATCTTGGCTCACCACAACCGTGTCTGGCCCTTTTTCTATGTCTTTTCAGCTATTGCATAGTATTTCATAGATTAAGTTATAGTAACTTACCTAGTAATAGTTTCCTGATGAATGGGTCATTCAGGTTGTTTCCAAAGTTTCATTCTTACAAGCAATGTTGAAATGCATATTGAATATTATTTTTTCCGCATGAGCCTCTCTCTTTGCATTTGTATTTTTACATGATATTTTCTTAGAAGTGAAATTTCCAGTTTAAACAGTATGTATATTTAACAATTTAAAATGTGCTGCTGTTTGAATCAGCTCTTATCTGCCTCTTTGGTAAATGAGAGATTCTCACTCTAAGGTTATAGATGGCCAAACACATGACACCCAACATTGGGCAGATGAGACTGACAGCAGTTTATCAGTCACCTATACTCACCACCAAGGGGAGGAGGATGCCACATGCCCCGCAGGGCCACACAGAGGCTGCACTTGGGAACAGAATGAACAAGCAGGAGCTGCGGGAGGCAGGCTTTGTAGTAACAAGAGAACCAGGTGCTCCCTGGTTCTCACAGGAGGAGGTGATTGAGTTGTTGGAATCATTTTGCAGGTTGGCAGGGACCTGAAACCTGAGGAAAAAGCAGGAACTGTGCCTGGTACCTTTGATAAGGAGGGTGGTTTGGCTGGGGCACCTTATCCAGGGATGGGAGCGAGGAGGGAAACTTGCAGATAGACCAGCTGAGGTCTTCATAATTTTGCCAAATATCGAGGCAGTACATAATATCAAACCTTAATTTCGGCCCCTAGACCACAGCTGTCAAGATTTTCTAGAAAGCCTTTATCAGTTTATACTTCCTTAGACAGTGTATTGCATCCATATTTTCTTGTATCTTTGACAAGGGACATTGTTTCCTTAATGTTTTCTAATGTCATGAGCAAAAAGCATTTCTCATGTTTGTTTTAATTTCCATGATAATATTAAGCAACTTTTCAGCAACTGCAAATCATGACTCTGTCACATGCTGTACATTGAAAGCTCATGTCCTTTCAGGGTTGGCAAACTTAAAAAAATATAGGACACCAAGTTAAATTTAAATTTCAGATAAACAATGAATACTTTCTTTAGTAAAAGTATGTCATATTCCAATTTTTATATGCAAATGTTGCGTCTTGCCCATTTTTCTTTGGGACCACTTGCTTAAAAAAAAGATTTATAGAAATTCATTAAATTATCTTACCTTTAAACTTTTGAATGTCCCATAAAGACCAAATATTTTCTTCCATTCTATCATTTACACTTTTTAGATTATAGTATCTTTTACCCTATAGAAGTTTTAAACTTTTATATACTGAAACCTACTAATGTACCCTTTTTTGATCCTGGGTTTCATATTTTGCTTCCAGAGATTGTGTCTAAACAAAAGACTTGCAAACATTCAGGTTTTAATTTTTTTCCCATTTACAATTTACTAATTCACCTGGCAAGCAAGATCTTTTTTGTAAAACCTTTATGCAAAAATAGTACAGAGAGAAAAAGTCCCCTTTGAGAAATAATCTGAGCTATACCCATGGATTTCCAAAGCAAAGGAGGCCCATACATGAAGCCAGATGTCAAATCATGTATTCGTAATGAGAATCCCTAATGGTTGAGGCGAGGCACTAGAATCATCAGGCTGGTATATTCTACCCTGTGGGCAAGCTTCACAAAAAGCCACATTGTCAGGAAGCTGACAGGGGAACCTGGACTCCAGATTGCCATATGATTCAGAGATTTCATTTTTCAAAGTCTGGTCCTCAGGCCATGTGTCTCAACGTCACACTGGTGGGACTGATGAATCTTCAGATGTCCAGTCCCATTTCACACCCTCTGACCCAGACTGTCTGGGAGTTGAGCCTAGAAACCTGTATTATTAAAACCTCAGATGACTGCTGAAGTTTGAGAACTATGGATTTATTGCCTTCAGGTTGAGAGAAGCTGATATATGTTACTATAAAATGATGGTATGCCTAGAACAAGGACCGTATCCATCTCCCCAGACCACACTGGATTAGTCTCTGAGATCCCCTTTCCCCAACCCACTCCTTCTATAAATACTGTCATACTTTCAGTTGTGTTACAAATGAGTAAATGTCCTTGTCTGGGAATCCATTCTATCTCTTAATGCAGCCCCTCTGATCCATGATGTGTCCATTTCCTAGTTCATCTCCCAGAGATAACCTTATTTCACTCAGATTCAAGTTTTTTGGGGGTTATCTGGTTACTCTCACCCACACTACTGACAATGTCCCAGAGGGTGTTCATCTGTGACAAGACCGGGGCCACCCCTTGGAAGTCCATTCTGAGGCAATTATTCAACCTCTCCTTCATGAATTATTACAGAAGTCAAGATACTACTGGATAAATGCCATCTCTTTAATTTTCACAGCACATTCTTTATTCATCAAAAACTCTGATATAATCTACAAAAGTTCTTGCCAAGGAAGAGTCTTTATCAATTACCAAGGAAAGCATTTGACTCCTGCCTCGAGCTTGAGAATCTGACTTCCTCCTGAGTTGTCTCTAGATTTCACATGGAGAGCCAACCCCGGCTTGGCTTCTGGTTGGGGTTTCTTTGTTAGCAACATTTGTTTGACTTCCCCAAAGTTTAATTGCTTTGGGGGAGACATTTTTAAGAACGATCATTTCAGGATAAAATTATAATTTTCAAGCCACCGGAGTATCTGCTGAGGACACTGTTGTGACCTCTGCTGGGCAGAGCTGCTGTTGCGTTGGCTCTGTGGGGTTGTCCACACGTCAATCTTGGGCCACTCTGTGGTCACCCACAGCACAGTGAGTATTAAGTGTGCACTGGCACTGCTGGGTCCCTAAGTGAAACCAGAGAAGCCCCAGGGCCATATTTAGAACACAGCTGAAAAGGAACGGGTACTTGCTGCCGTCCAGTTGTATTTTGAGCTAAGGGCCTTGACCTCACCCTTTCATTGAGGAAGGAGCCTTCTTGGGGGCAGCAGTCACAAGCATGCCTTTTCGGCAAGGAGGCTGAGTCATCCAGAAGGTGGCCTGTGATTGTGGGTTACATGCAACAACGCTGCAAATCTTCATCCACAAAAGAGCTGCCTTCCCACCAAAGACAAGGGGTTGCTACCAACAGCCGAAATATTGATGAATCTTATTCTCCAGATCTCTTGCCCCACTTATTCCTCCATCTTGCTGAATATTTTAGGTTATGACACTAATCACCAGAACACACACACGCTTAATGATGGGGCAAAAGGAGGGAGACAAAACCCAGATATCTTTAGTGTCCTCACCCTCCACTGTACACAAATGGTTACAATGTGAGGAGATGGATACAAGAATTAGCTTGACCTTAGTAACTATCTCACCATGTACAGCATATATATACACACACACACACATATATAAACATATACATAATATATGTGAAAATATATTATATATATAAACATATTAATATATATATTAATATCATGCTGTACAGCTTGGATATATACAATTTTTTATTTTTAAGAAAAGGATATTTCTAAAATTGCATAAACAATGTCCCTAGTTAAAATCTCATGGCCAAAATCACAGCAGGAAGACAGGTGCGGCTACTATGTCATTTCTGTATTTATTAGTGTTTTGTTAAATCCTTTGCTTTTACTAAGAGGCATGACCAAGTGCCCTTACTTCATGAATGAAGAGAATAAAGCAAAGGAGTTTAAAATGAGCTGCACAAGGACACACCGCCTGAACGATGACAGAGCAGACACGGGTGTGCGCAGCTCTGCCTCCTCCTAAACTTTTCCTTTTGTCCTTACCTTTTGAATTTTCCACTCATGGAACTGGGAGGGACAAGAGAGAACCTACGTGCTACCGATGAGGAGACTGGGCTCAAGTCCA